TCGATATGGCCATGTAATATGGTTGAAGGAACAACATTAAAATAACATCTAAAGATTATTTTATGACATTTGTAATTGTCATGAAATTAAAACATCCAAAGCACTGTTAAAACCTACTAGAATTTTCATAATTATAAATTAAAACAAGACAATTATTGCATACCTTTTAAGCCGATTTTGTGGTTGCCAATTTTATCTTAAAATCGTATTATAACTTATTAGGGCCCTCCTTTATCAGTTCCACCAACAAATTAAGTGAAGAGAAAATGATTAATTAAGGAGTAGTTCTAATCGTGTAATATGAAAGACAAAGAGACAATATATTTATTTTTTTCTTTTTTTTTGAAACAAGAGACAATTGTTTTTAATTTGTCAACTTCAAGCAAAATAAATAAATAAATATTAAAATTAAAAAATGTTTTTGTAACGACATTGTATGTCTAATGACTATACTTAATTGGCTAGGGCATAGACAACTAGATGAATGGATGGAAAGCAAATAATACTGAAATTTAAAAGAAAGATCGAAGCAAAGAAGACATGAAGATGGTAACATGGAAAACTCGAGAATCAGGATGAAAAATTGCGGATGACTATATGTCTTTTCTTTTTTTTTTTTTTTTTTTTAATTACAATTAAGGTGACTATATGTCATTATAAATTCATCTAGACACTAGATTAATATGAAGAAAAACTATAATGGTTATATATAGCTAGGAATTTTTTTACAATAATTTTCAAAAGTCCCTAGTACTAGCTTGATCATTAGAGCAAAAAAACATAATTAGCTTGGTCAAACAAGCTTGCTTGAGAAAAGTTTCATCCAAAATAAAAGAAATTGGTGTATTAATACATTGAAATTTAAATAGCTAATTGAGACTGTTGATAATTGATATGAATAATATTGCCTGTGATTACGCTTCAAGTTGAGAAATATATAGCCAATTACCCATATAGGTTACAACTTCGAGCCCAAATCCAAGGAACATCTCTCACCTCATCATTTTCTCCCTTTATGCTAGTTTTTATTTATTTTTTTATCTTATTTATTTTTTTCCCCATAGCGTGGGGATTTTTTATAGTTACCAATGCATATATAGCTTAAAAATCTTAAATTCAACCATAGTAGGAAAAGTTATAATAAGTTGATATAAATACAGTGTATTTTGAGACGAATCTAACAAGATTCCATATGACTATATTTTCAACGTATCAAAAAACGATTAAAGGAGTATGTGTGAATAGTGTAAAATACCAAATGTTGTAAGCCTGTGATAAAAAAAAAAATAACAGAAGAAGTATAATTTTTACGTTTCATAAATTTTTCCCATAATAATGAATCATCTATGTATTAGTTCGTAATTAACCCATTGGTAAGCATAAAAGTAACACAAATTTTCATATGTGGCCGAAGTTACTCAATTAGAGGTTACTCGATCGGTCAGGGGTTACTCGATCATGGATTACTCAGTCGGTCAGGGATTACTTGGTCAGAGATTACTCGGTCGGTCAAGGGTTACTCGGTTAGTGTTTTGGTGTATGTTAACTTGCCCCACGATGCAGCTGGCCACACCCAAAAAACGCTTTTAAAGTAATTATTCTCTGTTATTTAATTTTTTGTTATACTTACTTGCATTTTGTATGATATCTAGGGGTGAGCATGGGTCGGATACTCGAACCTTTATCACTATCGGTTCAATCGGCTAATCGATACCAAAAACACTAAAAATGATATCCATGAACTGAACCGTTAAGTTCGGGTACTCGGATTTTCGAATCGGTTATCGGATACCCTATATGATATCCGATAATGAAAAGTTAGACTTTAATTATAATTTAGTTATTATGATATTTTTGAACACTACTAATTTACAACAATACCACATGATCTTGACCAAATTACTAATAATATTACTAATCTTGTGAATTATAAAGTGATTATGAAATAAAGTAATAGTTTAGATTTTGGATAAATACATTTAAGTACAAAAAAAAAAGAAAATTTCTTATCGGATCGTTAATTATCGAGTAACGTTACTTTTAAAATGATATCCGACAACAAATTATCGGATCAGGTACCCGAACCATTATGGTTATCGGATCGGGTATCTGTAATACCCCGTATTTTTATACGTATTTTAATTTAAATAAGTATTTCTTAAAGTATTTAAATAATTCGAAATGAATTATTTATGGTTTTTCATAGTTTTAAAAAGAATTATTTAAATTAAAAGTTTATTTTTAATAATCTTGAAAATATTTTATTTCATGATTTGGAAATATTGGGGCATGTTATTTTATAAAAGGAGATTTTAAAGTCAATGAGTTTTTAAAGAAAGTCAAAATACTAGTTTGACTAGGAAAGGGATCATTATGGGTAGTAAAGGAATTTTAAGTAGGAGGGTTATTGAGAGAAGGTATAAATACCCATCATATGCCTAAGGTGGAGTGCACCCAAAGGTAAATTCTCTCTCTCCTCTTATTTTCTTTTCCCCTTCCCCTTTATTTTATTTTTTGTTTCAATCACCACCCACACACACGCCGGCCACCACCACATGCTGTCGGACCACCGTCGTAGCCACCAACAGGCACCGGCGACAGCAGCGGCACCACCAGCAGGCGCGCGGCAACAGCCCTGCTGTGGTGTCGGTGCTGCGGTGTTCGGAAAAAAAAAAATTAATTATTCTTTTTGATTTTTTTAAAAATTAAATCTAGCCTTAATCTAATTATTGTTTTTTGGGTTTTGTGATGATTTTATGATGTTTGATGATAAGTATTTTGTATATAAATTTTCAGTTGGTTTTGAATTAAAAAGCCCCAAATTGAAAACCCTAGGTTTTTAAATTAATGTATATTGATGGAATTTGATTGTAGGTGATTTAAATTATTGAAATAAGTGTTTTAAAACACAATTACAACAATTTTCGATTATGTAAAGCTGAAATTTTTATATATAAGCTATGATTATGTTTCTTGAAAGGATTTTTAATTACACATTAATTGGGAATAAAAGTTAGGGTTTTAAATTAAAATTAAGCTTGTTTTAGAGGGTTTATGAGTGATTTAAAAGAGTGTATATATTGCTGGAAATTTGTGTGGAATAGGTATTAATGCCTCTTTGTAATTTTGGTTTGTAGGAGACTTCCAAGTGAGTGATTTTATTTAGTCGTGGCGATTTTGAGATCGTACTCAAGGTACGTTCGCGTACTTGGTAATTATTTGAATATGTAGAAGCATGCTAGGCTTTGTTTAATTAACTCCAAGTAGTATCATGATAGGTGTTGGTTGGAATTTGTTGATTGGATTGATGTTGGTAAATGATTTGTGATGTATGAAATTATTTATGATGAATTGGTGATTGGAATTAATTATGTTGGCATGTTGATTATGAACCACACTTTTATTATTGGCATGATAGAGAACATGTTTTATTAAACTAAATGTTTGGTTTGGTTTGGAATATGAAAAGGAAATTTTATTATGGTTTATATAATTTTTATTGATGCTATAAGCATGAGGAAGGAGCTATTTAAGTGTCTTAGTACACAAGAATAAATTATATTGCAGTGCCTAGCTATGTGCACTTAAGGTGTTTCTAACACCGAGGGATAGGATTTGCGACGCATTATGCGTTTAAGGTGTCTTTGACACCGAGGTAGATTAAAAAGGGTTCAACAATTAAATTTATGTGGTCACTAATTATTCAAGAATTAAATTGGTTTGTTTGATTGCTTGAATGATTTATTAAGTTTGATTGTGTTGTGGTTTGAGAGTCATCACCAAGTCTAAAAATATGTAAACAACGTAAAGTGAAAGAGATTACGCACCGAAACTCTTGGAACGTATATACCTTGAGTATGAACATAAGGGGAAAATTATGGGGTTTTATATTTAACCATGACTTCTACTGGGAGTACAGGACGCTGCATTTTCCTTTTTATTTGTATTATGCGCAGGACGTCCAGTCACTTCATGTGGAATTTGCCTACCCGGTTAGCTCCCGGTTCAGTTTACCTTAATTTATTTGGGGCAAGGATTTGGTGGGAAACCCGTTCGATGCGTAAGCAAATTAAATAAGCAATTTATTTATTTATTTATTGGTTAGTCATTTGGTATGTTGTATGCTTGTAAACAGGTGCAACAAGGTAAGTTGTGTGATGATAGGATGAAAGCATGTTAGTGTGTTTTTATTACGCTTATGTACTCAGCATTGTTGATTATGCGTTGTATATTTGTTTGGCCTTGTCTTTACCTTGGCCCTATGACGACCCATTTATAATGGCGAGTAGTGGGGACAAGTAGAGAGAAGCTTTTCAGGTGATGAAGCATTTTAATGATGGGCATGAGTGAAGAGCGAATCATGCTTAGTTTCTATAGGAATATGATGTGTTTTATTTGCTTTGAATATTATTTATTTTATTATGCTCATGAGACTAACGTAAAGGTTTTCAGTATTGTTTGGGTTTTAAGGGCCTACAATGGTTCCAAGTTGTAGGTTGACTTTGTTTGACTTCGTTTGACTTTATTTCTATGCTAGTGCGCACTACAACATAACGGAGTTGATTTTGGCCTATACGTGATGAAATTCATGTAGGAGTCAAATTCATGCATTTACGAGTTTAGTTGGGAAAAAATGGCCCAAATAAGGCCTATATAACTTCTACTTTGCTCATTTTCTACATTTCTTATCAAATGAACTCATTCTTTCTCATAAAATATCAATATTACATAGTTTTAGGTGGCTGAGGCTTGAAATCACATGAAAATAGCATTTTACTAAGTTTTAGGACGCATTTTCATCCAAAATGGCCCAAATAAGGCCTATATGACTTCTACTTTGCCCATTTTCTACATTTCTTATCAAATGAACTAGTTCTTTCTCATAACATGTCAATATTACATAGTTTTAGGTGGCTAAGGCTTGAAATCATATGAAATGATCATTTAACTAAGTCAATGGCGTACCTCATCTAGTTGTAGAGTGTCCGTACAACGACTCACTATGTCAAGTTGCCAACAATACAAACATGGTATATAATCTTATTATAATTCATTGGATTGAAATTTAGAAAGAAAATAACAACTTTGGGAACGTTAACATTCCATTTTAGGCCATTTTTGCCCAAGTGAACTTGTAAAAGCATGAATTTGACTCCTAGTTGCTTGTTTATAGTTATAAACAATAAAAACATGGTATATAAGCTTAGTATAAGTCATTGGATTGAAATTTAGAGTTAAGAGAACAAGTTTGGGAATGTTAGTAGCTAGGATTAATGTCGTTTTTAATCCCAACTTTTACCAATTTAGTTTCATTAATTCCAACTTCGGATTATTCCTCAATAATCCCAACTTAAAGGTGGCCTATCTTTATTCAATCCCAAAAATCGGTTACCGATTGAATGGGTTAATTTTGTTTTTTTTTTTTTTTGTTAAAGTGACATGTGTCGCAAATTTATTAGCTAAAAAATTAAAAAAAAACCCACGCAGCCAAAGCCCCGACCACCCAGCCAATCCGGGAACCTGCCCAGCCAGCCAACTCCCTCGTCGGAACTCCGGCCCTCCCCCACCACTGGAGTCGCCGCTCCGGCCACTACTCTCTAAACCCCCAACCCCCTCCCTGAAACCCCAACCCCGACCACCAATAAAACCCTTTCTAACTCCGGCCACCAACCAAACTCCAAAAACCACACCACCAGGTGCTGCTATTCCCCCTCTCCTTGCGCCGCTAATTCCCCCCTCCTTATCTCCCTTCCCGTTTTCCTGCTGCAATTCCCCAACCTCCCTCTTTATCTCCTTTCCTGTTTTTCGGCGACCACTCCTTCCCTTGAAACCTCTTCCTCCACTCGAAAACCCCTTAAGACCACCTCCCCACTCTCGAAAACCACCAAAAATCCCTCCCCCACCCATCGAAAACCCTAGCCGCTAATGTTTCGTGGTGGTGGGAGGAGCAATTTGGGATTTTTGGCTGAAACCTCCGTTTTTGTGACTGGTGGCTGCAATTTTGGAGTTTCGTGGTTGTGATTGTGGGTTTCATGGCTGCGATTTTGGGGTTTTGATGGCTACATGGGGGAATGGGAGGGGGTTTCAGGGAAGAGGGAAAACAGCGACGCAAGGGGTGGGGGACTGGGCAATGGTAGTGGAGGTTAGGGTGGGACGGTGGGGGAGGGGAGGTTAGCTGGGTTTTTCTGATTTTGTGGTTTTTTTTTTTTTTTTTTTTTTGTTTTTTTTTTTAATTTTTAGACCAATCAGGACTTGACACGTGTCAAGTGACCTGATATAACAGGTTTAGTTACCGGTTGGGTATGAAGAATGATAGGCCACCTTAAAGTTGGGATTATTGAGGAATAATCCAAAGTTGGGATTAATGAAAATAAATTGGTGAAAGTTGGGATTAAAAACAGTATTAATCCTAGTAGCTATTACATGCCATTTTAGGCCATTTTTGCCTAAGTGAACTTGTAAATGCATGAATTGACTCTTACTTGCTTGTTTATACTTACAAATAATAGAAACATTCTATATATGTGAGCCACGTATAATAAATCAAGTTTGGTATTTAATTTTTAAACTTGTATTTATACATGTATAACCTAAGTAATCAATTCTAACATAATTTTGTTTATTCCAAGTTTTGCAAGGTACAAAAGGAAGGTCCGTTGACAAGCAAGGAACTTAATGAAGTTCGAGACATGTTGGCTTCTTTCATCACCTTTAATTTGTAAATGTCACTTCTATTCGAATTTATTTTTTGTTAACATTTTAACTACATTATTAATTAGTATTGTTTGTAAATGTGACACTTTATTATTATATTGCATTTGGGATTATTAATATCTATGTATTGTTGTTATTATATCAATTTAGAAATTATTATTATTATTATTACTATTATTATTATAATAATAATTATTATTATTATTATTATTATCATTATTATTATTATTATAATTATAATAATTATATTTATTATTGTTATTGTAATTATATTATAATAATAATGGTAGAATTAATGCAGGATGTACAAGTTTTTTTGTTAACCGGTGCCTAATCTTATTAATAACAAAAAAAAAAACAAACGCGGCAAAGAGTTTTCGCACCGAAAATAATAATTCGCACCGGTTAACCAGTGCGAAAAGTAAGAAATGCCACCGGTTTTGTACCGGTGCGACTGTTTTGCTTTTTTCGCATTCCTCAAATCTAGATCGGTTCAAAACCGGTGCAATAGGGGGGTTTTGAACCGGTGCGGATTTATGTTTTTCTACTAGTGTTGGCTTTCCTCTCCCTAACAATCGGCCCCCCTCTTGCCTCTTCCTACCCTTATTATTTTCTTCTTCCGCTGCACAATCTCCATGGACGAATCAATAAAATTTCATCCAGCCTTGACTATCACCAACGTGAAGTCTCTTGTACCAATCACGTTGGATGTCGACCATGGGATGTATCACTCTTGGGCTACACTTTTTAAAGTGCTTGTTAGGGTTCATGATCTTCACAATCATATTATTCCTCCTACAGAGGAGAAAGAAAGGGCAGCATATGAAGCCTCCAAAGCCACTGATCTTGTTCTTTGGAAGCATTTAGATGCTGTAGTCCTTCAACAGATCTATGATACCATTTCCACGGATCATCTCCATGCTATTCTTCTCAAGGACGACACTGCTCAAGGTGCTTGGGCTCGTCTCGAGTCCATGTTTCAAGATAACAAAGCCTCTCGAGCCTCTCATCTTGAACAAGAATTTGCTGACCTAGACTTCGAGAACTTCTCGTCCATTGGTGGCTATTGTAATCACATCAAATCCCTTGCCGATCGTCTTGTTGATGTTGATGCCCCGATTACTAATAGTCGTCTTATCCTTAAAATGACAGCCATGCTTCCCAAAGCGTATGCCGGTACGGTGGACTTTATTCAAAATCAGGAACCTTTGCCTTCCTTTGAATGCTGTCGTTCTCGCCTGAAATTAGCCGAGCGGACCATCAAAAACCGCCTGGCTAAGGAGGGTGGATCCACCAGCCGCCCACCAACGGCCCTCGTCTCAACCTCCGGCAACAAGGCCAGCAACACTCGGACTCTTTAGTGAACTCTTACCTCACGGTCTAACTCCAAGAACATCAAGCAAAAAAAGCCAAATTCTAAGAATTCTGGAATAGCTCGCAATTCTGGCAACCCAACCCAATAGCAATCTGGTTCGTCAAATGGGCGACACTGGCAATTTCAGCAAGGGCCATATTCTTGGTTGCTTCATGGACACCACGACTGGCACAGTGGCCCAATCCACTATGTCCTTACCCAGCTGCTTCGTGGGCTTCAAGACCTGTTGATCCATCAGCATGTTCACGGCCAATTAGGCCGGGGATTTTGGGCAAGCATCCACAGGCGTACAGTGCTATGAATCTGTTCCCAACTAATATTGAAGCGGCCATGCATACTCTTGCTAATTTGGCTAAACTGGATGGCGATTACTATATGGACACTGGTGTAACGGCTTATGTGACAGCGGATCAAGGTATTCTTTCTCCCTATGTCAATTTGAGCATTAAAAATAATAACAATGTTGTTGGTAGTGGTGATTTAATTCCAATTATTGGTCATGGTAATGTTTATTTGCCCTCCCCATACCCTCCCTTTACCTTAAACAGTGTTTTGCATATGCTCCCAAATTAATAAAGAACTTGATCTCAATCCGTAAATTCACCACTAACAATATATAAGGTTTTAATTGAATTTGATCCTTATGGGTTTTCTGTGAATGATTTACATACAGGAGCCAAACTAATGAGATGTGACAGTACCGGTGACCTCTATCTAATCTTTTCAATCACTCAAGCCAATTTTTCAGTCAATTATTCAAATTTTACTGCTCTTTCATCCAATCTTTGGCATAGGCGCTTAGGACATCCTGGAGATGTCGTTCTTAGATCTTTAAGTAGTCAAAAGTTTATTGATTGGAATAAGGCTAGTAACTCCTTTTGTTCCTCGTGTCCTCTCGGGAAACACTCTAAATTACCTTTTAATGATTCTATGTCGTACACTGCTTTTCCTTTAGATATTATCCAAAGTGATCTTTGGACTTCTCCTATTACTAGTTCTTCTGGTCATTGTTATTATTTCTTGTTTCTTGATGACTACAACAAACTTTTTTGGACTTATCCAATTGCAAGGAAATCTCGGGTCAAACACTTATTTCAATCTTTTCATAAGATAGTCCAAACTCAATTTGAACGTAACATTAAGACTTTTTAATGTGATAATGGAACCGAATATGTTAATGGTACACTTAAAGAATTCTTTATTAACCATGGCATGCTCTTTCATCTTTCTTATCCTCACACCTCACCTCAAAATGGAAAAGCTGAATGCCACATAAAATCAATTAATAACATCATTCGGACCCTTCTTGCTCATGCATCTTTGCCACACTCTTTTTGGCATCATGCTCTAGAAATGGGCACTTACCTTCTTAACATTCTACCAACCAAAGTCTTAGGTTTTAAATCTCCAACTCAAGTTTTGTACCAACGTGATTCGATTTACTTGGAATTGTGCGTCTTTGGTTGCCTATGATTCCCCCTTTTCCCCTCCACTTCTATTAATAAATTGTAAGAACGGTCCACACCTTGTGTCTACCTTGGTCCCGCGCCAAATCATCGAGGTTTGAAGTGTTATGATTTATCAAATGGAAAAATCATTGTTTATAGACACGTGAAATTTATCGAAAACGAATTCCCGTTTATTAAAGTTCACAAGCCGAAAATTAATGATTATGATTTTGGGATGTTAGTCCATTAAATCATATTCCCCATTTGCATAGCACTCAACCTACACCTGCCCAACCCACTAATTCTCTAGTGAGCTCCGGCCCTTCTTCCGCATCACTCCTTTTAGCCCAGACTTTCCTGGTACTGTCACAGCCCCACCCGTGTGTTCTCAGCAGCCCGCTCCTCAACACACACCTCAACTTGGGCTTCCTCTCTTTGAAAACCCACTCATCACTTCCTCACGAAGTGATGATCAATCCTCACCTCAAGCAGACCGCAACTTAGCTACCTCTACCGCACCTCTGCCATCTTCCACACATGAATCCGGCCACGCCCCCACTCACCATCCCACCAGTCACATCATACAGCCAGCTACTCTACCCACCATATGACTACCCGAGCCAAAAATGGCATAAATAAACCTAACACCAAGTACTTTCACAATCTAAACACGATGACCACTACCACCATTTCTCCTATTCCAAAGGACCCGGTTAGTGTTATTCGTGACCCTAATTGGAAAAGTGAAATGTTAGTTGAATATAATGCTCTTATTGATAAACATACATAGGATTTGGTACCTCGGCCTCCTAATGTGAATGTTATTCGTTCTATGTGGATATTTCGACATAAACGAAACTCTGATGGTTCTTTTGAGAGGCATAAGGCCCATCTTGTAGGTAACGGCAAGACTTAGCAGCAGGGCAATGATTTTGATGAGACTTTTAGTCCGGTTGTCAAACCGGCTACTATTCGTACTATTCTTAGAATTTCTTTATCTCACTCTTGGCCCATTGTAGACATCTGATTGTGTCTCCCCAAAAACCAAACCCAGTGATGTGTACCTTTCACGTCTTTGATTATCGAGTCAGGTGAAAAAGTGAAGAGTCTCATGAATTTACTTTAGCCTCGACCATTTTTAATCTTTCCTTTAATATTTTAATCTAAAATCATTTATTTCGTGCCTTAAAAGCCAAAATCATTGATTTCGTGTCTTTAAAAATCATTCATTTCGTGTCCTCTTTTATAAAACGTCCAAAACAGTTTATTTTGGTCCATAATTCTGGTCCAATTATTGTGTATTTAGATGGGTCTTGAAAAGAGCTTTCCAACGATATATTATAAGCCCAAATCCGACTTATAATGAAGAA